CACAGCGGCTGTGAGTTCCAGCAAAGGACTCGCGCCTGAGTCAGTGTTCACACACCCAGGAGGTGCATTTTATTGCAAAGAAAACCAAGCCACGACCCCGTGGCTTCCAGGGCGGACACAAGCGTTTTCGGTGTTCTCCAGCAGCAACCCTCAAAATCAGCCACCGAGCCCCGCAGCGACCAGGGCGTCGAGACCGCGCACCCAGCCTGAGCTGACGGCTGGGAGCCCCATTCGTAGGCGAGATGAACCCACGGGGCTCCCGTGGGTCAAGGGGGGGCCGATGTGCGTGGTGTCTCTCTTGATGGAGCACCAGGTGCCGTGTCCCCCCCCTGCAGGGAGACGTTTGCTTGCCGGCTGGCGAAGACGGACTGGCACCCTTTGCCCAGAGGGTTCCTCGAGGCGGGATCTTGAACCATGTTCTCGACCCGACATGCACGTTGCAGAGTGCGGGTCACTCCACAGCGTCCCCCTACTTTCTGTGGGTCACAGGGCAGCCTGCAGCACGCAGAGTCCTAGCACGCATTGGGCTACCACCCTACGTTACAGACCCTGCTCTAGGCATCAGGGCAACAGCTGGGGGCAACTGCAGCTTGGTCAGGCCAGCTCGTATCTGCTGCCGCCTCGTGGAGGGGCGCGTCCCCGCTGGGGACAGCCACCCTGCTGACTGCAGCCGAGCCTCCGGCCAAGCACTGGTGCTCCCCGGGGTGCAGAGCTCCTCTCTGGAGAGCCACCTTCAATTCCCAGTCTCTTGATTTCTGGCCATGCTCCTGGAGGGGAAAAGTGGAGGAGAAAGCAGGAACAGGGCTGCAGCCCCGTATTGCTGTCCAGGGTCTCTGCACTGGGGACTCCCGGGAGCAGCCCATCTCATCGCTTTGCAGGCAGGGACACGCTCACACGAGCCATCCCTCGCACGAGCCCCTCTGCTCATAAGTGCTTCCAGCAGCCCCCCGTGTGAATAAAACAGGTGACTTGAAAATAAATATCCATAGTTAAGAGGGGAGAAAAAAGTCCTTTTTTATTCTTTAACTCCCAGCAGCCACCAGGTGTCAGTGTGATCAAACAGACGGGACTACAGTGAAGTCCTAGTAGTGAGAAATAGATTTCCAGGAATTATTGTCTTCTCTGCTCTGTTGCCTGGCACACCCCTCTGAGAAGTCCAGCTTTGACAGCGTTTGTTAAAAACAAGTTTAACTACATTAAGGTGATAGAAAAGCTTCCTGTTACAAATGACAATATAAGGTTTCTCCTCCTCCTTAAAGCCTCCCCGTGCAGAGCTGGTAACCCAAGCCCTGAACAACAGAACCAGAGCGAAACGGGCTACCAATAGCCTCACTCTGCAGCACTTCCCAGCCCGCAGGTACCGAGAGATGACCCGTCCGCAAGGTTTGCGGGATAGGGACAACAGTGCAATTGACTTAACAAGATCAGCCTAGTGCAAAAAATAATACAAAGAAGAACAAATGGAAAAGGTATAAAAAGTATCTCCGTATTAAAATGAAATGCTCCTAACCAGTAGATTTCTGGAGCTAAACTGAGATCACACAGGCAAGCGCATCACGTCAGAGACATCAGAACATTGTTCTCAGCTTGCTGACAGTCACCCTTGGACGCTCTCAAGACACCCTGGAGCACTCCAGCTTCAGAAGAGAGCACTACAGTCTCTGGAATACGATCAGGCCCAAATAAGCCGGAGCAGCAGATCAGGAGAGCTTGCTAGCTGACAGCCTCAAGAGTCAGCATTGCTTTTTAATGAGCCTGGATGGCCTCCTTGGCCTATTTAAAGTTTGAAGACTTTAGACCAGATCAGGAGGTGCCGAGCCCAATTGTGACACAAGAAGCATTACTTTATCAGCACACCTTGTTGTTTCTCTGAATTAGTAAAGTGGAGAGAAAATAGGGCAGCAAAGCAGCTCTTAGCAATGAAGTGCACCAAGGAAGCGTTTTGTGGGTGAACTAGTTCACATTCGATTGGTGGCTTTATCTTTTTAATAGCCACCGAGTATTAAAAGTGTGTTTAATGAGGATTATTGGACTTATAAACATTTATACGGTGAAACTGCCTAAAGGCCACAGCTATGCCAGGCCTTGTTATGCTAAGTGCTATACAAACTCAAAATTTAACTCCATGCTTTAAATCACTTACCATGTCATAACAACAACTTACGTTTAACCCTGTGAGCCCCAAAGCGCCATCAACACAGTCCCTGAACTTGTGAAGGTTCACTGCACAGACCCACCGAACTGGGCAGAGGCTGTCAGTGAAGGGCTGTCAGAGCAGGGCTGCACGTGGCCTGCTCATGTCTGTGGAGCGTCTCCCCTCACCAGCCACCCACCGTCAACTGCTGAGGCGGGAGAGGGAACTCCTCCGGGCAGCTCTGCAACTCTACTGACAAGATAAAAAAGGAGCCAAGAGACACCGTCTCCTATATAACGCAGGGAAAGGTACGGAGGCAGGACAGAAACACTCAAAATTGGAATCTGGATAGAAAACCAAAGGTTATCAGCTTTCTTGAATCCATAAGAGACTGATATCCACATGGTCCTACATTGAAGTAATCTGCGATTCAGTCTGTATGCAAAGTGCTATGCAAAATGAAACTACAGACTCTTCTGTATCTTGACTTTAGGCACTCACATCAGGGATGAACATGCTAAAAATATCTGTACATACAGGGATAGATTTACAGGCCAAACATCAGGCCACATACCTGGGGTCCTTCTGTACAATGATTCCCTTAAAGACCAAACATGAAGCTGCATCTTGCACAAAGCAAGCAAGCAGCTAATCATAAATGGAAGCAAATACTATTGCCTTTGACCAAAGCGAGTCTCTCGATCCCTCGGTGACAGAAGAAACAAACGTTCTGGGATTTCAGGCTCACAAGTAGTTCCGAGTCTCAACTTAGGCAGGGCTCAGAGAACAATTATGCATATTCACGTGCCTTTTATCACACATCTTCAGGGAGCTGGGGCCTCAAAGCTGCCTGAGGCGTGCCTGAGAAAGTCATTGGGGAACTCTTAGATCTGATGCTGATCTCACCTAAACCGGCTTTTATACTTGTTTTAATGCAGCAATTTTAAAGATGTTACCCCTGATTTACACCAGTGTGACATTAAACACTTTCGCCTAAGGCAGGTTCCTGAAAAGGAAAAAACAAGGACCAGAAAACTATCTGTTTCTGAATTTTTACTTTTTTCCTGTTTAAAAGTCTCACATAGGCTGTACGTTCACCTCAAAAGATTAACTGAAGCCAAACTACCCTGGAAAATGGAAAAGGAGTGGAAAAGGCCTGCGAATCTAAGACTAAGACATAGGCAAGGGATACTTTGCTGCTGATTTCACAGGCTGTTAGGTGAAAGAGGCAGATTAAAGTCTTTTTTTGAGCAACTCTCCAGCCTAAAGCAGATTTCCAGCTAAGATGCTGCACCATGGCACCAAATTCTCTGCAGTCAAGCAGCCCAAGAAAGGTTAAAGTGCTCAAACTCTGCAAGCGCAACTTGGAGCTGTAGAACTGGAAAAGAGGTTGGGGCTGTTGGGGGTAAGAGGAGAAAAAGAGATCATATGGGGATGTTTTCCCCAGATGTAAACATCAGCCCATCCAGTTAGCAGCGAATGCTAGAGCACTACAAAACCTCTCTGCACACGCGGAATGCAAACGCTCTACCCAGGACATCAGGTGAGTCTTGGCTCCCCGTATCCCGAATGAGACAGGTTTTACCGCACCTGCAGGGATAGATCATGATCTTCGCTCTACAGCTATAAACCCAGATGCCAACAAGGTCAGGGTCTGGCTGCCGTAACCCCAGCTGGACTCTCAAAGTGAATTTACTCCCCAAAGCTGGACTCCTGGTGGCATACAGCCTCACCACCTTGTTTCTGGAGCCCAGCCACTACCAGAGAGCTACAGTAAGTGCATTTAAAGGTGATGAAAGCATTGGTGCTACTGATAGGAACACACACACAGAGACCTACACACCCACCCCTCCCGCTTCCCTCTTCAGTGATCCTCCGGGCTCCAAGCCTCTCATGTGGGCTCAGGACTTCCAGCAGGAAAACATGCCCAAGACTTGACCTGTCCCAAGTCTTTAAGAAGTTCCTGAGCAGCCACCCTGATCCTGTGGTCCACCAGCCAGAATAGTAGAGACACAAATGTATTTAAAGGGGTGGCTGTCTCTGCTTTTTTTTAAAGGTGTGTGTCTTCCTCAAACACATCCACATCCTCGCTCGCCTGCTTATTGATCAGGACGTCCCAGCTGTCAGGGCCATTGATGGTATTTCCACCGTTCACGCTTGGCTTCTTCTCCTGCATTTCCGACTGGCTGTCGCTGGCCACGTCCAAGGTGGGGTTGTCATGCCAGCCGTTCTCAACAAAGCGCAGCTCCTCGCCATGCGACTGCAAAGGAAGGAGAGGAACACAAATGGAAGCAAAGCAGGACAGGCAGCTGAGAAGTACAGTCAGACCAGGCTATGAGGATCAAAGGGGATTTTGCAGAGTCAGTGGGAAAAGGAAAATTTGCTCCTGGTCCAGCCCTCATGGTGGAAACAAGCTGTCCTGAGCACAACAAGAACCACAGGGTTGCATCTCCCTTATGTCTCAAGGGCTGCCTTGCTGCTCCAGCAATGTATCCAGCAATGTATCCAGCAATGTTCAGAAGGTGGACAAGGAAAAATGATCTCCCTCTTAACTTTGCAGTCCCCTCTATCCCAAAGGCCAGAGTCCAGCTGCCTTCCCCGCCCACCCTCAGCTCACCATGTTCTTCATCTTGGGCAGGCGTCTCTGCCAGCAGTTGTATATGAGCCCCATAACAATGATGATGGCACAGATGGAGCCGATGATCACCAGTACCACAAAGAGTTTCCCGTAATCACTGCGTGTCTGGTTGGGGTGTGACTGGCAGCTTGTGGTAGTTGAGTAGTTCTGGATGCCAATCTGGAAGGAAGAAAGGGGTACAATAAAACCACTGGCTTGCAGTCACTAATGAGATGGGATCTTGTTCAGACTTCCCAGGGTCCAAGCACAGGTTCCTCACCATGGGCAGAGGAACTAAAAACTGTGACTAGGGTGGCAGAATGTACACTGTCTTACATGACTAGAAGGCACGTGACCTGACATATCACCAAATGACAGTGGGCACAATCTCACCTTGATTGCTTGCACAAGGATCACACCAATGCGCAAGGCAGAGATGCTTTCGTGGGAGAAAATGACCAAGATTAAGAGCTCCCAAACCAAACTACGGACCACTGATGGGTGCTGAGGCTTTGATGACTCCGAGACAGAGAATGAAAGCATAATAAATAGGTTTTCAATAAAACTCTGGTCCTAAGAGGGCACAATGGTCCATCTGAGGCCTTCAGAGCGGACAGCGGTCTGCTGATCCAAAAGCCAGGGAGCGGCTGCCCTAGAAATGGGTCCCTCGTGGGTGTCAGCAAACAAAGCCAAGCATTGCTCTCAGTGACTTGGCAGATTTCAAATAGGTTATGTATCAATTCGATAATAAGTATGACGGGTGTAAGAGAATATCCTCCCTCCTCCTCCTGAGCTTGTGCTAGCACAAGGTCAATGCAATGAGCTGTGTTTCATTATTGATAGGACTGGAGAGTTGGGGGCAGGTGGCAAGGTTCCTGTAGTAGGATGCGTGTTAATGTAGGGTCATTGTCGCACACAGAAGTCAAACCTTGCACCAACATGAATCCTTCTCTCCGGACAGTTCTAGTTGCTGATACTTCAGTCACACAATTTTCTACACGGTTGGCTCTTAGTGCTTTCTCTGGTGTAAGCCAATCAATACCGCACTGAGCGCTTAATTTGCTTTGTCTAACTGCACCAGTTTAAGTCAGGAGAAAACCTGAGAGCAAAGAGATAGAAAGGCAGTGGCCCAATTCAGCTGCTATCCACACTGCTAAAGACAGCAGAATTACTTCAGCAGTGTAAGCAAGAGCAGAATCAGGCCCTCAGTGTCTCCACATCCAGCAGGCCTAAGAGAAAAGCTCAGAGACCACAATACTAATTTGCCCTTGTCTCTGCTCCCTTCCAAGCTGCCCAGGGTTACATGGGAGGACTAGAGGCAGTCAGTAGTAGAATCTGGCATTGGTTGCTTCTGCTTTTCGGCCTGACCTCGTGGAGGGCACTCTAAAGGAGTAAAACCTGGGGTTGCAGGGGGAAGATGCATGAATGTGTCCTGTCTACTACAGGCATCTCTCTCAGCCAATTCAGCAAAGGCTGAGTGACTGGAAGCAGCCTGCCAGCGTGTTTAAGTCAGCTGTAGGGTGAGCAAGGCTGAATCTGAAGCTCTGCAGCACTGACATGGCCACAGGCAATGGTGTAGAAGGGAAGAGACCAAGGATCCCAACAAAACGAACATGTGAAATGCAGCTTCAAAACCAAGCCAGAAAAGGAGGGAGGGAATATCACACAGTTGTCCTCTTAATAGGAGCTGACATTTGATGATTCTGCAGTTACCAAAGAGGGGAGAAGGGAGTTTGCCAAATGTCTGACTCATCTGTTCACCTGCTGTGGGTTCAGCATTCAGTTACACTGAGATATGGTCCCAGTTTTCCAGGTGCTTATTTTAATTGCATAGCCAGCCTGAAAGGATGGATGCAGGCAAAGGCTCTTACCTCAGCTAAGCTCCTCTTAACATCCCCCAGTGCCATGAGAACATCTTTTGTGGGGATGACACCTGGAGAGAAGAAAAGGGAGAGATCAGTGCTGCTCTCTCAGCTTGGGCTAGCTTGCTTAGACACACTCATCTCTGAGATTCACAGCAGGACAGAGGCAGGGGAATACCCTTGGATTTTTGTAACTTGGTATGTTATGTGATGAGGCTGAAAGAATGCAAGAACCGTAACTGAGGGTACCTCCAAATATTCTTGGCAAAGGAAAAAAACAGGTGTGAATTGATGCTGGGGGCACCCAGGCACTATTCCCGCAGTCATGGGAGCTTTCAGGATCTGTATCTGCTCTAGGAGCAGCAACAGCCAAAAAGTCATGGAGGCAGGTGCTGTTGCTGCATGATCCATCCTCCCTGCCCTGCTCAGTGCATTTTGATCCCGAGTTGCAGCACTCGGGATACTCCCACAGCTCCAGGCTCACCTGTCACATCCTTTAGCAGGTAGGTTTCGCTCTGCTGGCAACCCTGGCACGGCGGTGTACCCAGCACATCAGCAGAGGCTGCAGGAGGTGTGCTGTGACAGCTCCACTCCCAGCAGGACAGCGCTGCAGCCAGGAAGTCACCAGCCCACACTGAGCACCCCTCTCGGGACCCTCGTTCCCTAACAGCTCCCAGGATGCTCTCTAAGCCAGGAAAGTGTGACTAGGCAGGGAGGATTTAAGAGCTGAAGCCCATTTATCCTTCCCTTCACTTAGCCCAGCAATAAAAAGAAGAACTGAACAAAAGCATGACTCTTCAGAGCAGAAGACACTTCAGTTCCTGAGGTTTCTGAACTCAGGGAAATCTCCCAGCCTAGCTGTGCTGCTGGAGTTCAGACCTGTCTTTCTTCTCCAAGAAGGGAGGATGTCCCCTCTTGTGGCATGTAGGTTTTACAATTGAAATCCAAATGCTCAAAAAAGCCTTTTCATTGGCATGTGGTCTGACCCATGGGTTTGGAAGTGATAGGATTTACAGCATGGATGCAGCAAATACCACTCAAACATTAGCTCTGCTTTCCTACCCCTGCAGACCACTTCAGAATACCGTTGTTTTTTTTTTCCATACAGGCCACAACGTGAACATAAGAGGCTTTCAGCACTAAGCAGGCAGCAGAAGCAGTATAGAAAAAGCACCCTTTGTACCAGAATGGGATAAAGAGATGGTAAAATATTCCTCTCTGGCCCACCTTTCATTAGCAGCTTTTGTTTCTTTGGGGATGTAGAGGAGGCACCATTAGGACTGGTCCAGTTTGGAAGAGAGTTAAGAGGTGGTAAGTTAAGGAGTGAACTATGAGCAGGCTTTAACGTCCTGCTGCAGCAAGGGCCTGTCCACAGAGAGCACACAAGCACGAGGAGAAAACTGAGAGATGCTTGTGTCAAGGCTACCCAGAGAGGGAGCAAAGCAGGAGGCAGAGCAGAGAAGTTGGAGCTTGGTGTAAAGTGTGAGGGGCAAGCCAGGAGGGAGAGGAGAACAAAGAGATTATGTCCTCAGTAGCCTTCCATCCCTCGAGTCCAGTTAACACTGGCAACACTGAAGCAGATCAGAGAGTGAAAGCTCTTTCCAACAGGGCTGAGCATCTCCTCTGCAAGGCCCCTAAAGACAGCCCGTCCCCCCGCATCACTAGAAAACTTCTCCCAGCACCTACCCTGTTCCCCTGCCAGTGTCATTAGCAAGTGCTTGTCGTTCTCATTGGGTTTGCTCAGAGAGATCAGCCAGCGGTCCTGAAGTCCTTCTGTCTGTCTGGAGAAGGCATCCTCCACCAGTGCCAGCAGCTGGGGACCCCTCTCCAGCCGAAACTCCTCCTGCCACAGGAAAGGGACCGCAGTGAGCACATGGTAGGCGCTGGCATGACTGCATAACCAAGACCCGCAAACCAGCATTGCCTGCTTTCAGGCATGCCCAAACCCTGTGCAACGCTCCCCTGTGTATCCCCAGCCCCCTGCGCCGAACCCACACAGCTCTCCTGACACACCAACCCTCCTTCTGCATGCCTGCGGCCATACACCCCACGCTGCCCTGAGCCCAGCCCCTGGCACACAGGCATCCTGAAGCAATGCTGTTTTGCAAGGCAAGAAGGAAGAAGTGGCCAGGTTTTTCCCAGCCCAGGCTGGCTTCTCCCGGTGCTGGGTCAGCAGGCCCAACTCCGCCTGACATGCTCCAGCCATCCCCTGGCAGGCTCCTTTGCTGCTTTCCCACTCCTGCGTTTCTATTCTTATCTCTGGTTACCATGCCAACCTGAAGGCCACACAGATGATTAATAAAAATGGAGAGCTCTTGTTGCCATGGCAATTTGAAGCGCTCAGGGCAGGCACAGGCCTGAGCCGAAAACGGCCTAATTGGAAAAGACAGTGATGACTGGGGCCTGAATCACCAGGGTCTGCCAGTGCCTCGTCTCATCAGGTTGCGGGTTTTGGCAGCGGGGGAGTACGCGGGGAGGCAGGAGGAGCCGCGCCAGGACACGGCACGCTGCTGCGCACCTGCGGCTCTTGCTCACAGCTCGCCTCCCAGCAGGCTGGGGCCCCGCCGCCAGCCTCCAGCTCCTTTTGGGGGAGGCAAACGAAGGGGGAGCAGCTTAGCCCACGAGCAGCAGGAGCTGCCTCTAGTGATGGAGGAAGCAGAGGTTGCAGAGCACTGATGAATTCTCCTTGGGGGAAAAGAGGGAGCTGTGACAGCATCTGAAAACATGAGCGCGCCAAGGTGGAGGTCACCTCTCAACGTGAGGCTGGGCACCGCTCTCAGGTCAGACCCTGCAGTCCTCACTTGGACAAAATTCCCAGGTAAAGCGAGTGGGAGATTTGCCCAGAGACAGACTGAAATGACCGCCTTGGCCAGAGCCCGTTAGGAAGATAAACGGGTTGCCAGCTTAACCCAGCAACACAGACATCACCCCTGCGGGTAAAAGCTGGATGCTGTGAAGAACACCGAAGCTCAGGGTGCACCTCTCTGCAAGGGACTCAGCACCTTCATCGTCCCTTGGCTTTTCAAGGGGACTCAGTACTGCATCAGGTCAGAGCTTCAGAACATAGGAAACATTTGAGGAATCCCCATTCAGCCTAACTTATACTACAGCGTTGGCAATGCAGACGCTCCCTTGCGGCCCTGGAAATCCAAGTAACAAAGGCCCAGGATACCTAAACCAGAGAGCAAAAGGGGCAGGCAGAGGGTAGCTGAGCTGCCCAAATGGAGCAAATTACCATGGGCAGGAAACAAACTACATCAACAGGGATGGAAAGGAAAAGAGCTTGATTTCAGCCACAGTCATGCAAAGTGATAATGGGAGACAGGGAATGGAAGCAATGTTCATGTTAAATATGCATGCTGACAAGTGTCCCTTTGAATAAAGGGGAGGACAGCACAAATCACTCGTTTGGAAATATGTTTTGAAACATGAAATCAAGTAGAAAAACAGTGCAGTCCTGCCTATCCCAGGGCACTGTCTTCTTTCAGCAAGGCAGAATTGAGGATTCAACAGCAAAGACACAATTTTGTCAACAGATATCTGCATTTCTGCTTTTCAGCTCTCGCCGTTCCAGTGGTTTAAAACACAGCAAGTGCAAACGACCACAGGAAGAGAGCTACTACGTACTATAAAATTAACAAGCGTTTAAACTGCAGAGATGGGAGAAAGGACGATAGTGAATAGGACACAGAGGAAACCGTGCAGCAGGATTCTGGTTTTCAAGGACTGATTTTCTGAGTTGCAGCTGTAAATTGCAACAGAGATACTTAAAACTCCCCAAAGGGCAAACTGGTCTGCTTAAAGTCAGGGGGCTAATGGAAAGAGACTGACTTTTTCATCTCTCTTTAAGGTGGTGAGCACATTTTATTGTGTATAGTAATTTCCCTGCCTTTCCTGCCCCCAAAAAATTGCCTTAAAAAAAAAAAAACACCACTAGTGGAAATAGGTCAGTGTTGAAGAGCCACCCTGCAGTAACAAAATCAGCCTGCTCACCCTGGTGCAGGAGCCATAGCAAGCAAGAGAGCAAACACATGAGGACAGTACCCTGCTACAACATTTCAGTCGCAGACTGCCAGGCTCATAATCATTTCGAAGAAATATGAAAGGCACCTCAACCCTATGCCTTTCACAACTGGTTTTAAAGTACCTGGTAAAAGGCCCAGCAGAGGTGAATGAGCCCTTCTATCAGAGATACGCAAGGGCCTCTGGGCTCATGAATTAACTGCAGCTTTGCGGGGATGGACAGACACACATTGGATCAGCAGAGCATGCCTGGTTAACAGACCCAGATAACATAGAAGATAACAGGATGGGGAGAAGAGGCACTTAAGGAAGATTTAGTGACAGCTGCTTGACACTGAACCATTCACACTGCAAATGGGGCATCCTTATTCCCCTGAGCCATCAAAGGAAAGTGACTATAACCTAAAAGGAGAGGAAGGAGAAGAGAAAGGAAGAGGGATCAAAGGTCCCACCTCAGTCCTGTCACGTTCCCTAAGAGTAAGAGGTGCAGTGTTAAATGTTCCTTTACCTTTCCAGGTAAACACTGGTACAGATGGGCAGGCGTGACAAAATCCAATCGGGACTGGCACGTGCTAGACTGAACAAAATCCCCTCTCCTCTCACTCTTTCCCTATTTGGGAAATGAGACTATTTCTCTCCTTCCCCCCTTCTCTCCACGACCTCTATAGGGACTTTGAGAATGAGTGCTTCTAAAATTTGTTTTTAGTGAAAGCACACAACAAGAGCCATGCCTGCCTCAGCCTCTCTAAGTGCTATTCCTCTCATGCCATCAAATCTCTTTGGACTGACTTACACAGTCAATGTTATCCGACATATTCAGGATGATGTAGTTTTTCCCCGCAAGGTTGCTCCAGTCTTTGCAGATTACCTGGAAAGAGAAGACAAAGACAGCTGAGTTTGGGCAGCAAATGCAGCTCTCCTGATGAAAGCACAGGATATGCAAGGGAGGGGAGGAAGAAAAGGGGTTGCACTGTACCCTCGGGAGGTGCTTCCCAAAGGAAGTAACTGTCCTCTAACTCTTTGCACTCAGGGGGATTCACCTTTCCATCTGTAAGCTGAGACAAGTTCTCTTCTCTTCATTTCAGTGCTAGCACACAGGGCAGGGACAAGGTTACTGTGACAGCATGCCACAGCCTAGCTTACCTTCCGCCTACATCTAAAAGAACACAGGTACTCATTGGAAAGCTCTCGCTAGCCTGCAGCCTTATTTAAGAGCCTTATTTAATAAGGAGAAAACCTAAACAGGAACCTCTGTGATCCTTACACAAACTGGTCAGACAGGGCAGTATTCTGAAGGCAAGATCAGAAGCACAGAGGGACTAAGTCACTTCCTCAGGGTCCCGAGTACTTTGGGGCAGGAAGCAAAGCAAAAAAACCTCTCCTGGTAATTTCTTACCCACCAGCTCCTCCTACCTATCTTCCCTTACCTGCCAGTTTGCTAGATTCATTCACCATGCACCTCCCCACCCACCAGTTCTCCTAAACTAACATCCTCCCAGGATCGCTGTATCCCGCTCCACCTGCTCTTCATCTAGCCCTTGCAGCTAACAGCAGCAGCAAAAATAGCTCTTGCTTCTCACTCCCTTTCTAGAGGTCCTTGGGGCCATTTATGTCCTGACACTTCCAACAATGCAGGCTGAGGAAACAAGGAGCTTTTGGTGCTCTCTGTTCCCCAAACAGCAAGCTTTTATTAGAAGCAGGATTTTTGTGCAGCAGTTTACGGGAGAAGATGGGAGGCGGACAGGTCCACCAAGGATTATGGATACCCTTAAGAAGTACTGTGAAAGAACGAAAAACTTCCTCCAAAATTTGCTGGCTGGGGTGTGAGCAGAAAATGCTATTTCAACTTGTTGGACCTAGGGGAATGGGTGAGATTAAAGGGTAAAACATCCCCTGAGAGAGGAGTATCCAAATATCTCTCAATATTGCAACCCCCCAACCACTCTTCGCTCCCAGAACTACCTGTGGTGAATTCCAGGGCATTTCTGTTGGCAGCACGGCTATGCGGGCATCCCCAGCCTGCGGTGAAAAGCTCCTCTCTGCTGCCACAGTCTCTGTGGCCAGCTCTGTGTCGTTCCAGGCAAGATCCAAGGCTGGCTTGTCAGACCTGTCCCATGGAGCTGCAGAGGAAGTGGGATGCTGCTTGCCACCAGAAAAAGTGTGGGTGTCTGGGGAGCTGCTGCTGGGAGAAGGCGTCCCCACAGGCATTTCCACTGTCTGCTCCGTTTCAGTTAGCACCGTGGGCTCCAGCATCTCCCACCCCACCGTGGTCTCTGGGAACTCCTCTTTGGCCAAATGCTCTTCCCTGCCAGCCTCCGCTGCAGGATCTGCGAGCTCTGCTCTCGGGGTAGTCACAGTCGGCTCCAAATCTGCTCCCCTGACAGCCCATGTGTCCCCAGCTGTCACCTCAAAGGGCTCTTCTGAAACATCGGGGGACCTCACAGCGGTAGTAGAAAAAACAGAGGACACAGGCAGAAGGCCTGGCCCCATGCTGCTCCCAAGGTCTAAGCCTGGAGGAACAGAGTCCTCCTCCTGCATTCCTATAGCTGCCTCGGTCACAACGCCTGGCCTAGCAGAGGCTGTGGAAAATAGGATGGTGAACAAGGAGTCCTCTTGGCCCACTGGTTCGGATGATGTGTCCTTTGGCCTGGAGGTCTGGAGGATCTCCGGTCCTCCTTTCGAGTGGTCTATAGGGAGCAGCCCCTCTTCTTCCTCCAGTGCGCTAGAGAAAGGTGCATGCGAGTCCAGCTCAGCTGACTCTGCTGGCGGCTGGAGGGTGGCTGTTTCCCAGGTGTCTTTCACCTGCGTCCTGTTCCCTTTGTGCAGGGCCTTCTGAGAGGCAACAGGAAAGCTGTAGTCTAAAAAGAGATCCAAGAGACTTTGCGTCACATCCCAAGCACCCATGAACTCCGAAAGACTAGGAGATGCCTCATTATATATGGCTAGCCACTGAGGAGGGGGTCCAATGGCAGAGGCCCTCTGAGAGTGGGTAACCTGCCACCAAGAAGAGAAACAATTCCAGCTGGTAAGCGCAGTGCAACTTCCCATGGCCCCCCAAGCTCCCTACCTTATTCCCAGGGAACCCATTTTCCTCAAGGATAATTCGCATGTTGACCCTCTCCACTCCTCTCTGTGCTGAAGGTTTTTTCCACAAACCTGCTAGCCAGGAGAGCTGCAAACACCACTTTTGATACTTGGCATCTGAGATGAGGTTATGAGCATTACAAATCAAGCTGAGACCCAGGGATTCGTTTCACAAAGGGCTTGGAAACTGGGTTGTAACCGCAGTCAGCCACCAGCAAAGTGGGAGAGGCTAGGGAATTAAAATAGCAGCATAGCAAACCAGATCCTGCTCCCTGGCATGCCCAAGGAGTATCAAAACCTGAATCAACTTGGGCATCTTTGAAAGGCAGGACTTTGGTTTGTGCAGCACTTCACAGCAGAAAAGTCATCTCAGATGTCTGAATTATGAGATTCCCATGACATTAAGGAACAGTTTTGCTGCAGGGAAACAGGCCAGGGAAAAGAGCTGAATTTGACCCTCCTGCCCCCAGCTTCAGCTCCTGGTTGTTCTGTGGCTCCAACCATTGCTTGCCGTGTCTCTTGGCTAGGGAAACGCAGGTGCTGAAGGAGAAAATGCACCTCACAAAGGTCAGAGCAGGCAGTGGTTTCTTCTGAGACTGCAGTGAGGAACAGTCCCAGGGTAAGGAGAGCATCCCTAAGATCAAATACATTAAGCTGGAAGTCAGCAGCATTCCAGCAGGCATAAATCAGTCTTTATCTTTCTCAAGAAACTGCCTATATCTGAGCAGCACGTTTCAGGGGTTTGCATCCCAAATAATTCCTTTTCTCCAAAAGATGAGCACAGCACATATTCTGATCAAGAAATGGAGGGGAGAGGGTCTCTCCGCAGCCAGAAATGAGCACCCTCCCCAGGTTTTGGTTATTAATAAGCAACTGTCTAAAATCCCCAACGCCTCCGTCCCTTCGCTTGTCTGCCAAAACAGATGCTTCACTGAGCACAGTGGGCAGCAGCCGTCTGGATGCCTTACAGAGATCCGTGTGAGGCGTCTCCGCACCCCCCTGCCCCAAATCATTGCTTGCTGCTGCCAGATTGGGTGCCAAGCTCCAGGCGGGAAGGGCCGTGTAGACAAACACTCCCATTGCCTTGGATATTCCCTGGCAACCAGGACTGCCCGTGCTGCTCCGGCAACACAGCCCCTTTCCTCCCCTCCTTGTCCTTCCAGAGCAGAGAACCACGCTGCTCCCTCCGCCCCTAGCAGAGGCACAAAGATGCTCCTATTCCCCAGCAGGTGACTTCTCCCTAATCCACCACCTCGCTCCTTTTACACTGTCAGCAGCTCCCTCCGTGCACTGCCCAGAGATGAGCTTTATATGCCCCTGACACAGCTGCTGACCTGCAGGGCCATCACGCAGTAACTTTTTCCCAGTTTGGGCTGCAAACAGGCCACTGAGATCTACTGACCACTGCAGGCAGATCCCCTCTCTAGCATATGTTTGCTTTGCTGCTGTGTTTTACTAGAGAGCACCCAACCTGACTGAGACTCATCTCAGCCCAAGGATTCTGAGGATTAAAGGAGATTATTGCTACCCAGCAGCCTCCCTGGTGAGGCTCGGTTGGTGGTCACTGAGGCAATAAGAGCAATCGACTACCACACAGGCAGAGGAAGACCATCTCCCCTCTGCTGCCTGGCGCTGGTCTTCCCAAAGGCCTTCACCAACAGCTACATGTCCAGGTAGCTGCAGAGAAGTAGCTGCCTTGCTAGACAGATGCTAGTTAACAGCAGGAATGGCCACAGATTAAGGGCTTGAGGACCCTCTTCCAACAGATGGTGAAGGTTTAATGCCTCTCCCTGGTTTCTTCTGCTCCTCCTGCCGCTGGAATGCTCAGCGTTTCCACTGAACACACTGGCCTCCGCAGGAACACCAGGAGCCCTGCCTGCACTGCTGCTCTGCGGGCGAGGAGAGAGGGAGATACTGATTTCTCCCTGTCAGATGGGACATTATTTTAAAGGACTAGTGATCCAATCTGCCATCTCCTGTGCCTAGAGGCACGCTCAGCTTTTCTCAGCTCCTCCGTACCGCCTCTCTCCCCCACACTTCTTCCCAGCAGGAGGATAGCAAGAATTGGCAGCTGGGCGCAGCAGAAAAATAGACTGGGCAAAAAGAAGCAAGAGGTTTGCCCCAGGGGAGAAAGAAATGCTCCTGGCCTGTCAGCTCTCCTTCAAAGTCATGTAGTTGACCTTTCCTTAAGGTGCTCTGTCACGGATTAGCTAGTTCCCGAGGGGGAAAGCCCCGCGTGGTTCAGCCATGCCACCTTCCATGAAAAAGATCTAAGAAGTCCGAGGGACTGCTGCCTCCACCATCTTCCCCAGTGGTGACCAAAGCTCAGGAAGAACCAATCCCACTCTCCCCCAGTAGGCTTCTGTCTTACAAGGCAGCTGAAGACAGAAACCTGAGCTGCTTCTTTAGGGCAGTAAGTTAGTGAGGTGGAAGCAGACACAGGAACCCTCACACTCACTGCTAATTGATTTAACATTCCCACTTGCCACCAGTCTCCCCACTGTCCTGCGTGCTAATCCGGGAACACCTTCCTCCTGTCTGGCTCAGTAAGACCCCAGCGATTATAACCTCAATTTCCCTCAAATCTTGCAAGGACTGTTATTCAGCTGTTCACCTTGCAGATGGGGCAAGATGTAAAACTCAGAGATTGGCCTGGAGAATGCTGAAACTCGAGGTGTTTTGGTCACAGTTGTGCTGCTTTGTCCTCCTTAAAACGAGGACCTCTCTGCACAACTTCTTCCCAAAGATCCTTCCAGACAAGTTGGTTTCTGTCACTCATCTGTGGGCAATCCAGAACTAAAAGCTTCCTCTTTGGGAAAGTCTTCTCAACATTTCCCTTAATTCCCTTTCCCCCCAGCCCTAGGGGAACGCAAAGAACATTTCCCATTTTTAGTGACCCCTTCCAACATTTAGCTAGCAGTTCTCCTTCAGTGAGGGCTCTATCAGACCTTGCAACCCACACGCCCACCTGGCTGTCCTCCTCCTTCAGCAGACCCTCTATGACTGGCTCCTATGCCCTTGACATGCAGAAGTGAATGCACGGACCTTCCCCACCATCCTATACCAGCACTATCCAGTCCCATCCCCACCACTTTTTGTGGAGGTTAATGAGGAAAAGCAAGCATGGAACAGGGAGGTCAGATTGACTCAGGTGACCCATGCTCCTGCTGCAGAAGTGGGGCAGGGTTTTACAGTAAAGGAGATGGGTATTACAGAGCTGGCTGTAATGCCAGATTCGTCAGCCTGGTTTATCAACCCATCAAATTTCAGTGAGGGAGCAGAGTTGCCAGACAGAAGGGTGCCTGAGAAGGGAGCAGGTAGTAACGGCACATATCACCAGTTCCTTCCCTGACAGGCAGATGGCTCAAGAGAGCTGCCCTCTGGAGCCAAGCAACTGTCTCAACACCTGGCCAAAGCAGTACGGCAGGGATGCCACCCTATTCTCTCCCAGAGCTTCATAGTCACATCATGCCCCTGGGAGACTGGTTCGCCAATATGAAATTCCACACCTCAACCTCATCTCTTTGCCACCGCATCCTTAGCTACAACCCCTTAATGCTTTCTACTTGTAGCAATATTACTCACACTGCAGCATCCAGCTGCCTTCAGCCCCCCACTGGCTTTTCCCTTCCAAGCTCTCTCGCTAAGACCCTCAGGCACTGTTCTCCATAGAAACCATCTCACACAGCAGTCCTGCCACTCAAATCCTGCCCTTTATATCTCCCAGCAGACCTAGGTCTGGGTCGCACGGATTCATTTCCCTTAGCTGGGGGGATGAGCTGCCATGGGAGAGGTGAACACGAGCTAGAACGCTCTGCAAGAGCTGCCCTTTAGGCTGTATCCCGCTCTCTCTGAAATCAATACCAAAACTTCCCTGACACCAGATGGGCCGAGACTTGGCACTTTGCCAAAGCACAATTCCCCAGCCAGACATTTAATTCATTATACTTCTATTTCTCTTTCATTCAGAAGAGCTAGTCTCAGTCATTGTCCTGCAAGGTTCCCTAGCCTGTATTTGCCTCTATTACCTGTTTAAAGTGACTGTGACAGCTCAAAATAAAGGGTGACCCTCATCATTTTTAGTACACATAACATGACCATAAGGTCTTTATTGGATTAAAGTAGATCATGTTAACCAGTGATTGAATTACTGATAACTACACGGAACTGTAATAAAGACATGCCCATCCCAGGGCTCCCACCATAACAACAACACAGCTTGCTAGTACCATTATACTACACTGCCATATTCATGAAGTGCAAGGCCCATTTTACCACTGCTGCTTCAAGTGCAGCCTGTTCTGGGGTGGTATCTGCTCCACATTGGAAAAGAGCAAGCAATGAGGCTTACTGCAAAATGGAATACTACACTTGATTGAAATTGCAATGGGATTTCAAAGAGGTGAAATGCAATTACCAATACTGGCACTAAGCCAGTTTGGGTTAATACCCCGATCTTTCAGAAGAGATAGGAGAACCTACTGTCTGGGATTTCAAGACATGTCCACCCACATACAAGAAAAGAGGTCATAGTTAAAAGAGAAACTCCCAGGAAATAAAGTGTTAGGTGTCATCTACGTCTGGCAGTTGCCTCAGATGGCGACTGGGCGCTAATTTGAAGGGCTATGGCTCTTCCCAAATAGCCCCAATACCTTTTTCCTGCTCAGTGTAACGTGCAAGAGGCAAGATTGAGTCACCCCCACCCACACACAGTCAGTCAGCAATAGCTATGTCAGAATAACACCATGCCCAGAGAAACCCTGTTTGTCACAGGTCAGCCTTTGCCAGCAATGGCTTGTCCCAAGACGGATCACCTAATGCGTCAGTGTACGTTAAATCAGAGCGTAAACAAGAGGCATCCCGGGAGCTGAGCTCTGGCAGAGGACTGCTCAGTACTAAGCTTCTTATGTAGACATTCTTTACCAGGTGCTTCATTTCATTAATGCCTGGGTTGAAGATGGTATTAAGAACTGCAGATCTGCTGTCAGTCTGGATGAAGAGCAGCAGATTTCAGTAGGGCTGTAGGGAGACCGGGATCTCTCTGAACAAGGAAGGAAGGGAATCTCACTGCCAAAGAAGAGCGGAGAGCGAGAGAGATTTTATCCCACTAGCTAGTTGGAAAGCTTACTTTTCTTTGAATGCAGTGCTTCAGCTTCTCTGACCTGCTATCCCACATCCTAACTCTCCTGGGAATCCCTTCTACTAATTACCATGAATAATTAAAAGATTACAATTTTTTTCTTCCAGAGTGCCACATGCCACGCTAGTGAGTTACCAACTCACGAATCCAGATTTAATAGCTCCCAGCACAGTTATGCCTTGGTCTTCAAAGGCACAACCTTGGAGCTCATAGAGCAGTAAGGAAGTGAGCTTCATACCAGCCCACCACCTCATTGGAAGATGTGATGAGGCACTCCAGTACCTTGGGCAAGGGAAGAGACAGACATATGCCTTCCCTCACCAGTCCCTCCCAAGTCTTTGCTCCCAAGTTTTTGGGAGACTCCACTTTCCACTAATGATTAGGCTGTCTCAACCCAGAGTCTTAGTTGGAGGAGGAACACAAGGGGCACTGGGTTCCGACTGAGCCTATGGGGAAGACAGATGTGCAAACCAGGGAGTACATCAGGCTGGATGCACCACAGTACCTCCTTTACTAATATCAGGGACGAGAGAGACAGGGAAGTTGCACCTGACAGGGACCTGCAGCCCTGATCACTCCTCTCTTCTACCCCTAAAGCTAGAAAAGATGTCATGTCTCTGGCCCAGGAGCAGCACCAGGCTAGTAAAAAATGAGGGGGGATGAAAGCCTCCAGGCAAAACAAGATGAGCAAGATGGAAAGAAGGGAAAGGAGGGCAAGAAAGGCCAGATACAAGTCCCTGTAGGTCCTCTTCTCTTCCTAGGGCTGACCCTGGCTCAGGCCAATTTGATACAAAAGGTGAGACAAAGCAGCCAAAACTAAACTACAACCTGAGCAGTTTCTGGATTCCCTGGAAGTCCTAGGGGAGCGGGACACAGATGTAGCAGGTTCATAGTTCCACTGACCTCTCTTGCCCAAGGTGGCATTCACCTGCTGCTTCTTCCCCTAAGGATATAGCATCCACATACCCACCAAACCAGATCCATCTATTCTAGATGCAGGTCCACAGGGTAGCAGCTGTGCATGAACAGCAAAGCCAGGGCATAACAATGGGTTAGCATACACACAAGCGTGCACCTCTGGGTACATTCATAGACAGAACAAGATAAATCCCAGGGTCCTTCCACAGGCTGGCACTCACTGATGTCAATATAGATCTACTGGTTCTGCAGCATAAAACAGCAAAAGCATATTATTCAAGAGAACCAGAGCCCTAGGCTGAGCTGTATCCAGCCAGTAGGATTTCATTCTCACTTTCTAATGGACTAACAGGTGGCCCTAGATGCCACATGTTTTCCAGAAATATTTTTAAAGGATGTTTGTGTGCACTTAAAGTGCAGGAGCAGCTGCAGAGTGTTATTACTTTTTATCTCCCACAGCCTGCAAAGTCACACAAAGGCAGAGTAGGCTCCCCACACAGCCTTCAGAGGGACAGGAAAAAGGAGAGATGACTAATATAGCTTTGAAATCTCAGGAGATCTGGCCTATCTGCAACAAGACTATCAATCCCAAGCCCAATATCTTTAAACCAAACAGAGAAAGAAGCCCAGTATTATACATCTCTCTTCAAAGCAGGGAATTTTCTCTCTATAGGAGTATAACAATCCTGTTTTGTGCCTTGATTGATACAGGGTCTCAGAGCTGCACCTGGGGCAGAGCTATCAGCTAGGCCAGCCTATACTCCACTGTCATTCGGCGAGAAAGCCTACATTAAGGAGAACTTACACCTTAATCCCCTCCTCCTTTTTTTTTTTTTAAGTAACAGCTGTTTGAAACTGTTTAATGGATTTATACTTTGAAAATAACCTAACAGATGTCATTACATGGTTCCACAAGGTATCACATGGCATCCGTCACACATGCAGCAAGTAAGATCCATTGGTCAAGTGCATCTCTCTCATGCACAGGCTCTCCATGACAGGAGAAGATTGCCTAATTTAGGGATGCCATTACAATATCTTTTATTGTAAAATGACACACAGCAGGTTTCTAATTAAATTTTAAGTAGAAATGCGCTCCCAGCTGTTGAATAATTCAAACTGTTCTATTAACCAAGGTTCTGAAATGCCACTGAGCAGTGAGCCCTGGACAAAGCAACGGTCAGAGGAAAGCCAGGGCTTGGAAGCGCTTAAGTGGTTAGGTGGGCAGCAGATAGGGCTGGGTACATGTAAAGGACAGCTGAAAGCACACATCTGTTCGTGCTGAAAAGCACTGCAGGCGAGAGCGGAAGGAGAGACAAGCGTGTTCTGCATACAAAATTGAGTGAGGCACGTGCAAGAGGCGAGGCTGGTTTGGTACCCAGTGCATCTCGCTCTCAATGCACAAGCACATGCTGTTCTCCAAGTCACGTCCAGATCTGTGAGTGCATGCAGGTGCCTGCTGGCAAACAAATAAAAGCGCCGCTGAGCACACTGCTAGCACATAAGAGCAGCTAAGTCTGAGCCTATCCTAAGGGTGTAATGGTGGGAACAACTGCCATCCGCCACGAGATCACTGCGGAGCTTCCCCACAGCCAGGCCTGCAAGTGCCCCGGGGGCCACACAAGCAGTGGGGCAGCAGCAGTGGCTGGGCAAATTTAACAGCAATATTAGTGAGCAAAGAGCTTCAGAGACCTAAACTAGGATGGCCCTTGCCCCATGGCCTTGCAGAGCACACACCATGCCCCAGTGGGCAGCCTGAGTCACAGCGCTGCCAATTAGCATGCCACAGCAGCCCTCAGCCCTGCACGCGCACAGGCCTTTTTAAGGTCACAAAAATGAGTATGAAGATAAGACTGAAACAAGACTTGTGCTTTCTAATTCCAGACCTCAATCGGACCTGCTGAGAGGGAGGCAGCGATATCGGATGAGGGATAAGGCTGAAAGCCTGGCCCCTGGTAACACTTAATACATGCCCCGCATGACACACAGCACAGGAGCATGCAGAGTAATCCCCCTAAGCTACTAGAAACCCTGTAAACACTCCTCCTTTTTCCTCCCATCCCTCTCCCTGAGGGCATCTCTAAACCATCGAGAGGCTCAGGAGAAGAGCACCAAGGGGACCAGCACCCAAAACTGTTCCATGGAGGAAGACAAGCTCAAACACCTCATGAAGTTCATTTTGGCCCAGGCTCCCCAGGTAGTGAACAGAATCAAGCAGCTGGGCAAGTGCCAAATGGAGAAAACCTGCTGTCTTCACTCATGCCATGACTGCAGCAGGGACTTGGCCCGAGGAATCCAGGATTTGGCCTTGGGATTTTAGCTGGGACTCAAATCCCAAGATGGCCTTGATCTCCGAGCCGGGGTCTTGAGACCTTCATTGACAGTGACAATAAGAAGGGAGGGGGAAGAGAGAATAAAAGGGGGAAGGAGAGAGAAAGAAGGGGAGGAGGCAAACAACAGACTAGGAGGTGGAAGTGAAACTTCTCCCAACTCAGGGAACTTCGTAGCAGCTCAGGAATAAAGGTTCAGCTGTAACTTGTTTTCTAAAGCCTGTGCTCGCTCAGAGTTCACTGGGGACACATCAGGCACTGAGGTGATAAAATAGAGCTGACGTTTAATCTCAGACCCTCTTAGCAAGAGTTGTGTCAAAGCAGGAAAACAGATCCCTGCATCCCTATGCCTCCCCAGAGCCCCAGCAGAGAGGAGAGGAAGAATGGGGTAAAAATAACCTACCTGTTGCTGGTCCCAAGTCCAAGCTGGAGTCGTTGAGTTCTCCCCCATCTTCCCAAAAGTACTGCGGGGGCTGTAAGATCTTGGATTCCTCATTCTCCTCGCTGGCAAAGCCTGATCCTGGAGCGGCATGCAGAGAGCTGGGGGCAAGTTCAGCCTCTGGGGCCTCGGGGCTGGTTTGCTCATGGGAATTCAGGGCCTCCAGATGGGACATCATGGCAAACTCCAGCAGGGAAGTTGAAGTGAGGCCATCAGCAGTCGGCTCCTCCGAGGAGGCAAGGCAGAGGCACAAGGTCCCTGTACAGCGACAGCAAACCCATATCAGAGACAGGATTGACACCCAGCGGCCCGTCTTCTCCTGCCAACCCGACCTGCCTACCAGCTTTTGGGGTAACCTGCCCCTCAGACGGGCTGCACTCTCAACTTGATTTTTTTTTCCCCCCTCATCCATTATCTCAGGAAACATCCACCACTACACAGAGGAGCACTCTCATCGGGAAGCAGTCAGTACAAAGCAGCCATCCAGCCTTGGGCACCTCTGTTCAACAAGGCAACCATTGTTTGCCCTTTCTGAGGCTTTTACCTCTCTGAAAGGAGGGGGTGCCTTGTTAATCACCCCATCCTGAAGGGGAGGTGGCACGTTTTACATTTAAGGCATGAAATTCTGGCTCTGTGAAGTCAATGACACTTTCAATTTGACCATCACACTGCCAAGATTTCACCCTAGTGTTCCTGATCGGCACCTACATCACATGCAGGAGATCAGTTTATATCAAAATTATCTAAATCGCCAATTTTAATCATGTTTTAAATCAGCAAGCTAGAAATCTATTTTTTAAGTCATTGATAGTGAACTTCATCTTGCATTCACATTTTTTGTTTTCATACGCAAGGGCTAACGGTTACAGGTAAGAATTTAAACACACTAAGAGCAAACACATCTACCTAAAGCTAAGCAAGGAGTCAGATAATACTTTACAGACTCATTTAAACAATTATAAACTTGGTATTTCCATTTTTTTATATTAGAAAGTTCGGCCGACATTTCTTGTTTCCTCGATGAGATTTTAATTGTGATTTGTGTCCAGGTACCTTCACATGCATTTTGAAATTCAATTAAAATGCAAGAAAACAGCATATGAAACTTGGCTTCATTCAGTTGATAAATACTATCATAAATATGGAGAGATAAGGAATAAAATACATTTACCAAAACACATTTTACATTTTAAATAATTTTAGTAAGCAAGTGAAGTAACCAACTGCAGTTAGTGAACCAAACCAGTTGTTTCCTAGCCCTCTGGTCTTCAGCATCTAAGAACAAGAAGATCTCATCCTCTCACAGCTGATTTTTATTCACAGTTTGGGGTGGGGGGGAAGGACAAGCTTTCCTCCTTTCTCAGCTCATAGGCAGTTTCTCAGTTTTTAATGAACTAGTCACTGAACTGAACTAATTGAATAAGCTGAAATGAAGACTAATTTGGTAACTTTCTTTGATAACTAATTTTCTAGACAAGAGAAGTGCAGTAGATCTAATCTATCTGGACTTCAGTAAAATATTTGATATAGCGCCACATGGAGATTTACAAGAGAAACAAGAAAAGACAGTGATGAATAGAAAAAAAAAAAACTGTAAGGCATTGGCTACAGGAAAAATGACAGAGGCTTGTGCTGGAGGGAGGCTATTAGTGGAATTCCTCAAGGTCTGTCCTTGGAACTCGTCATCTTTAGTATTTTCCTAAGTGACCTTGGCATGAAAATTAGGAGCATGATAATGAAATTAGCCAGAGACACAAAGCTAGGAAACAGCTTTGCTTTATAGAAAGACTGTAGGTAGAGGAAGGTGATCTTGAGGATGGGAGGAACAGAAACATTATGAAAAGAAATAACACAAAGTGGTAAGTCATCACCTTGGGAATTAACAATAAACATTTCTGCTATAAGATAAGAAACTATCCATTAGAGGTATCTTAAGAGGAGAAATTCCTGTATTAGAAATGGCTCTGAGCTATCGCTGGAATGCAGATGTGAAAAAGCATGCACAATCCGAAAGTACTAGAAAAAGCAAGGTATTAATGCCTTTTACAAAGCACTGCTGAAACCTCACCTGGATATTGCATGCAGATTTGGTACACGTGGTCTGAAATGGTTTCGACAGAGCTGAATCTGCCTTCAGGCAAGGGCACAGACTAAGAGACCTCCTGAGGAAGGAGGGAAGTCTATGACTCCACATCCCAGAAGGACGGATTCAAACCAGGGCAGGTGCAGAGATGAACTACGGGGAAACGGCAGATGGGCTGGACCTCATGCTTTCACTGAGAACACTGGCTTGTCAGCGCAAAAAGTCTGGGAATGGCTGCTCACTCACCAGGCTGGATACCAAACCTGTCCTGGGAATGCTGGAGGCCCAGAAATGCATTTCTCAGGCCTTCTACCTACTCTGACCTTCCCCACCTTCCCCTGCTATTCTTCAAACTGAGCAAAAAAAAAATACCGTTGAGCCAGGCTTCAGCACTTCTCAGTCTTGTAAGTTTGTTCTATTGATCCAAGGTGAGATTGGCCAAGGCCAGCGCAGCAACAAAAAAGGAATGGTGAGAGAGGGAGGGTGCTACAGGAAGGAAGATGCTGCAGCATCACAGGGCCAACCGAAGCACCTCTGGGCATCCCCAGGAACAGGCCAACTCCCAATGTGCTGTACAGCCATTGCAGGGTCCACGGCTAGAAAGAGACTTTGCATGCTTCTTGTGCCAGAGCACAGGTCCAGAGAGCCCTGGCCAGGGCGGCTCCAGCGCCTGCCTGCCTGCCTGTTCAGCACTGCTCATGTGCTCGCCAGGCTCTGAAGCAACAGCACCCAGACTGGGCTTCCCCAGCCTGACACAACACAGCTGGCAGTGTCTGCACCACTAGCAGAGAGCATCGCCCAGGCCCGTCCAGCCCCATCAGAAAGAGCGCCTGTCTGGAGAAGCTCAGAGAAGTTCACAGTTCCAGCAAACATGACCAAGAGCAGCAGGCAGGAGAAAGGAAGTGTTATTCTCCCAGTTATGCAGAAAGGGGAGCAGAACGATGGAGAAAGACCATCACAGGCCACGTGGAAGATGTGGGACTTCAACTGACTGCCTGGATCCTACTTTAGCTCTTCATCCCCCTCACATGCCTCAGCTTCCTCTGACTTCCGCTAGGAAAGACTTGGTCGATGTTACAATCCACACCCAAGTCTCCTACCCAGCTAGGCAAAGGCGCAAAGCGTGAAATATCACCTTGCCCCAACTCCAAAGCTGGGTTAAGCTTCTGGTTTCCTTCTGCTGCACGCCATTGGGGCTGTCCTCAAACCTCAGCCACAGCCCCCATCCTGCCACCTCTACAACTGACACACTGCAGCAGACGAACCTGGGCACCCGGAAAGCTTAATCCCACCCATGCTCAGGTCCTCAGAGTTTGTTTACCCTCATTTAACTCTGAAGTGTTTACCCGGTTTAAAACCCCTAAGCTGCATTATCGTGTTTACTGGGATGCTTTACTCTCCTCAGCCCAAGATAAAACTACACCATCGCAGCCCAAAGAACGAGTCATTAATAGACACAGCCTGAGTAAGCCAGGTTTCTCCGCTGCAGGCAAGGGGTAGGATGACACCTCAGGGCCTGATCCACAGGCATGGGAAGCCAAGGTTGGCCTGGGGGAACCCTCTGTTCCAGCATGAGCCTGAATGCCAGGCGGTTAGCTGAATCACTGGACCAGTGTACAAAATGGTACCTCTCCTGACAGCATTCTGGCAACGCTATACCTTTTGCACCCGCAGCAGTGACAACCCAAAGGCCTGGGGAGCTGAACAGCAGATCTAAGCTTTGCCACATTCCCACTCTCTCCAAGCATCTTATAAAGGAGCTCAGTGCAGCTGTCAATGCCGAGGCAAAGAAAGAATCAAAGCAGAAGCTCAGCTGGGAGGCAGGGGGGCACAGCCGAGAGAGGAAATCCGACGCCCGAGAAATCTGCGGCTAACCAGTTTCCTCCTAGGATGGGGACAGGGATCAGACAACTTCCATTTGCCATCGGTCTCCTGATCTGGTATTCTAAAAGTCAGATCAAGCGATAGGGAAAAAGAAACACAAGCGAATAAAACCTTGCAAATGTAAATGGGAGGGAGCAGGGAACAGAGCCAGGGCTCGCCAGCTGCTTCAATGGGGCGTTTGTCTCTCGTTTCTATTTTTGCAGCACCTCTGCGTAACCTGGAGGAGTTGAGGCTGTGCATGCTAAAGAGGGCAGCCAGCCTTTGGGGAAACAGCAGGGCCACGAGCAGGGGAGGCGAAACCAGTCCCTGTTCAGAGAGAGGAGGGGAGAGAAAGGAGAGAAAGTGGGAGAGGTAAGTGGAGGGGGGAAAGGGAACAAAGGCAGAGGGAGAGCACCAAAATCAGTGCTGGAAGCTGCTGCGTTGGCTGTGAACTCCTGAGCTCTCCAGCTGCCAGCATCCCAAAAGGTGACACGAGGAGGTAACGCAGACCTTGTGAAAGACCTTCACCTCCATGACAAGCAAAATGAGATGATTTTAACAACAGGGACTAACACTGCAGTGTTACCCTTCCGAGACCACTGGAAAAAGAGCCAGGCTGGAGGCTGGCAAACACATGAAATGAATTTGTTAGTCGCTGACCCCAGTGGCCCCTCAGAAAACAGCTCCAACTCAAAGCTGTTCACCTCAGCAGAGGAATCGATGCAACAGCCCTGGACAAGGCAGATGCAGGAGCTTTGCTCAACAGCAGGAAATGACCCAAGAGTCTAAGGAGAGAAGATCTGCCATCTCCCAGATTGCAGTGAATAAGAACTATTTCACATTGCTAAGCAATACTGAAAGAATCTGAAAGTATTTTCCACATTAACCAACTGAGAACCACTTTATCTTTTGGCACAAGGCAAGCCACCTCTCCACGGGTTGGGGCAGCTGTTTAAAAGCTCCCAACTGGCCTATGGACTAGAAGTGAAAGAGGAAATAAGTCATTTCTGTATCCAGCTGAACTGAGTAGGGATTTGGGGAGATGAAATGGAACCTGACTGTGAAAGTGTCAAACGGCTTTTAAAAATTTCTTGCTCTTTAATTAAAAACAAGCAAACCTCAGTTTTCTCTCCAAGGAAATATATAAGCATCCCTTAAGATATCAATGTACTGCCTTGACCTACAGAGGGGCTGGTGTGCCCTTTGGTTTGCCTGTCTCCCCAGCTGCATCAGCTGGTTTAGCAGAGGACATCACCTCTCCCTGCAAACTTCTCCTCCTGGATGCTGTGCCTACAACACCACTGCCACAAAG